GTTACCTTATCGCTAATCGTTTGCTTCGTGTGTGTGTGTGGATGTTTTGCGTTTAGAAGTCGATTAATTTCATGATAGAGAACACCCTCGAGATGATCGCAAGAAACATGAAAGGGTTCGAAGAAACGAACGTTCCCGTTAAATCTCTACGTTCTTCCTATGTGTATGGCGCCACCCACATTTTATCCCCCTCATCTTTCTTTCTTTCTCTTTTTATCAGTGTCTTTTTATCCTGCCGCGTATATACTCTCTCGACGCAATAATCACAGTCCGGCGATATCGCCGCTGAGAGTTCGTTTTCTCGATCGACGCCACGAGAAAGTGACTCTCTGTTTATACATATGTACATATGCGCATACATGTGCCAAAGTATATACATATATATAAATTTCTATGTATTTTATATATCCCTCTATGGATATTGCATGTATAATATATGTATTTATATAAATGCAGCGAGAGAGAGATATATATGTGCATGTAGACTGACTGTTCGGCTATATATACATGTATATATAGGCGCATATACGGCACGAGGTCAACGGCACGTTGAAAAACAAGCGAGCGACTCTCGACGTATACGAGCAGCGCGTACGACTCGCTCGAATCTACATACACGGGGTGGGGGTAGGGAGACGGTCACTCAAATCACCTAAGGTTAACATTTTCCTCCTTTAATTGCATATACGAAATCACTAATTATCGGCTTAAAAACTCGTCCTGGATATTTTGCCGAGGTCCGTCCGGCATTTGTAAAAGGGGAACGCGGGCGGGCGTGCATGGAATTGTAGAGAATCTTGCGCGAAATCGGATAATAAAAGAAAAAGGAGGAAAAAAATGGAGGACTCGAATTTTAGGAGGAAAGTGATAAAATACTAGCGAGAGGGGAGGGGGTCGGGAGATCGATAGAGAGTCGCGAGTCAAGCCGAGTTGGGTCGAGTCGAGTCGAACGTAGTCGATCTAACTAGTTAGAGCTAGCTAGCTAGCTAGCAAGCGAAAGCCTCTTCTTCTTCTTCTTCTTCTCGTTCGTGTTCTCGCTCGCAATCAAGGATCTCGACCCTTTACCCGAGGCTGCTTACGAGCGCGTATAAATCAATTCATCGACCTAACGACGCGAGTTTTCTCGCTTCGATTCGCACCGAGAGGTGGTCGGCGCCGGAGTTGGTCCAATCGCGAGCAACAACCACCACCCAGCCAGCTAACCGACGACTCCTACGAACGGGAAAGAAACGAGCAACAAATAAATAAAGGGAAGGTAGGAAAGAAGGAAGGAAGATACGTCGAAGCTCGTCATCCTTCGAGAGACAACCGAGTGATTTCTTACCACTAAAACTCGACTCGTGTATCCCCCTTTTAGCTAGCTAGCCAGCCTAGCTATGCGAGACCCCTAACATCCATCGCTATAAACCGTATCGCGTTCCTCGCGAAACGACGCCCTCTCTTCTTTCTCTATACCACCTATCCATGTAAATATATATATATATATCTTTCTCTTCGCATTCTTTGTTTTTCTCGTGAAAGAAACAGAGAGAGAGAGAGAGAGAGAGAGAGAGAGAGAGAGAGAAAGAAACTTGCTCAAGGCGTGTACGACCTAATAGTCGGGGTCTCGGGTGTGTGATAAAATATTATCAACCAGTCTCTGTAGTATCTCCCTCTTCCTCCCACCTATCAGACCTCGTGTTTTTATTTTCCTCGTAAATATGCCTAGTCTAATAAAAGAAGAAAAAGAAATATAGATACCACGGGATAATTTAGCTAGCAGATAAAAAATATGAACAATTTTCATGAATAGATTAACGCAACAAAACGTCCTTTCCCTTTCGTTTGGTTTAAGTATCGCGGGGGTGCGATCAACGATGTGCTGCTGCTGCTCGTCGGCTCTTAGTTGGACGTTGAGCCATCCTATTAGATATACATATATACATACATACGTATATACGCGCCTGTGTCACGGGTCATCGGCCCTCGGATATTCTTGGCAATTCTCTCTCGTTCTTTCTCTTTCTAACACGCCTCTTCTTTTTCTTTTTTTTCTTCTCCCTCTCGGGATGGCACACGAGCCCTCCGATTTCCTACTCGTTCGCTCCCCTCGTACGGGGTCGGCCCTTCTCTCTCGGCCCTTCTCTCTCGGCCCTTCTCCTCCACGTTCCTCTTACCTCACTCTCGAATTCGCGCTTCAGAGCATCCCAACGATGGGAGAAAGACTCTTCTTTCCTTCCTTCCTTCCTTCCTTCCTTCCTTTCTTTCTTCCTTCCTTCCTTCCGTCCTTCCTTCCTTCCTTCCTTCCTTCGAGCCGATTCTCATTCTCCGATCGACTTTAAGTTCATTGCACCGAGAGAGTTACTTGGGATATCGAGCCACACCGAGAGACCTCCTTCCGCTTTCACTTTTTACAAGTCTTCTTCTTTCTATTGATAATAATTGAAGCCTTCCGTTCGATCCTTTTCTTCTCTTTTATTTTCTTATCTTCTTTATTTCTTTCTTTCATTTCTTGTCTCTTTTAAACGCACGCACGCACAAAGTTTGTCATTCAAAGTCGAACAAAGTGTAGGCAATAGGTCAGGCTCTTTAATAATTCTTACGTCATGAAACGCGGCGCTATCGAGTAGAACGATCTAGTTTTACTATGTATATTATATACCCGTGCGCGCGCGCATAGTGATTTAATATCTATAAGAAATAAGTTGTATTATACACGTACGAAGAGAGAATTTCTAGTTAAATTTTGACGTGGGCAGATCAGGATCGGTTGCGATTAAAAAGTTTGTACGATGAGAAAATGCGTCCAAATTTTCAGACATTTTTCAATCAGCTCATTATTTGATTATTAAGGTATTAGTGTCAGAGAACATTCTTTTTATATATATTGAGAAATATAGTTACTTGAATCTTTTTTCTTCTTCTTCTTGTTCGTTTTTCTTTCTCGTCCACTCCCCAAAACCACCGCGTGCGTGCTCTTTCTCTCGGTTGGACTTCTTAAAAAGATATTACGATACGGTAAAGCCGACCACAAAATAGAAGTCGATGGACCGTTTGGCAAGCTCAAACCGCAAGGATAAAATTCGACCGACTGTTTATCCGGTATAGCCTTGCCGTCAGTTGTCTGACGGTAAGAGGGACCCCGGGCCGTACGGTACAAACTCGACCGCAAATGATCTCCTCCACCTCCTCCTCTCCTTCTTTCCGCACATCGTTCACAACAACAACAACCTCTTTCATCTTTTTTAATTTCGACCATCCTCCTCTCTTCTACTTCTTCTTAATTGAATTTCTTTTCTTTACTTTACTTTTACTAAACTAAACTAAACTAAACTAAACTATTACGGAGACTCCTACTGTACTGGTCGCGGCTTGCTCAAATCAATAAATTCGATTCTCCCTCTTTCCGATCGTACGCAGGGCGTGTACGCAGACCAACAACAACAAAATATATATATATATATATATATATATATATATATATATATATATATATATATATATCTCAAGATACGCGAGAATCTTATTCTCGGAGAGGAGAAAACCCGTTTCTTCTTCATCTCCTTTCCTTTCCTTTCCTTTCCTCGAAAAAACAAGGTTCCTTTGAAACGACCGTAGGTACACCAAACATATAATTCCAATATTTCGGTCAATTTCGTGGACCGAATATTCGAAAGCGAAGAGAGAGAAGATTGAATTACACCGTAATTCCGTCTGCTTGTCTGTAACCAACCAATGCAAGGGTTTTAAATCGCGATTCTCGTCGGCTGCAATAAAGTGGCCCCGGTACTTGGTTGGTTGCTTGCGCCTGCATGAAATAGCTTCGACGAGACGTCACTCTTATTACGAAGGCTACTGCTGCTGCTGCTGCAGTTGCTGTTGCTGTTGTTGTTGTTCAAGACAACTCCGTGCGTCGCATTCTGTAAATGGCATTAAGGCCCACGTGTCGGCCCCGTTTCCTTACCCACCGATCCTACGACAATCTCCGACTTTTATTCGACTACGTGATTTCCTTTTTTTCACCTTCTTTTTTTTCTTTTGGTCGAAAGCATGTATTGGCTCATAATTTCGCTCGTTTCGTTTGTCTCCTCTCAGATCAAAAGTAATACTTCTGTTTGATTATGATATGACAATTTTGTGTATTTTATTTAACATCAAATTGTAAGAGTCGTCGTGTTGTATTATTTATCGTATTTAATGATGAACTTTGTTTTCCTCTATTCTATATTCATCGATTATTTTCTACAAATTATATCATTTTGATCGAATTATTAACGTGGCCATTTTGAAAAGCATCCAAGCGGGAGATTGCACGTAACACGACGACGCGTTATAGTAAAAGTAACATTTTCGAAAATATTAAACGGTACAAAACATTTATTGTTGCATGATATAGTTTAGCTTCTATTTCGATGCCATCAATTTTCTCGAAATTATATTATTTTCATTCGAATTACTAAAGTAGCCATATCGAAAAGCATCAAATTGATTGCATTTAACGCAAACGCGCGTAAAAGTAAACAAGAAAAACGACGTTTGGTCCTTTAGCATTAGCGTATCTCTTTCGTAGTATAATTATATCGATAAGTTGGCAAAGAAAAAAAAGTTAATTCTTCTTATCTTCTTTCGACTACGATTCCCCCATTATTGTTTATTTTTTCTTCTTCATATTTTTTGTTCTTTTTACTCTTTGATACCGTATAATATCATGAAACTATTACGCACGCACACTTAGGCACATATAAAGAAAAAGGCAAATGTCGCGTCGAACGACGACGAAGAGACGGCGAACGTCAACAAGCAGATCTTATTTTTGCGAATCGCCTTTCGTTTGTTCTAAGAAGAGAGAGAGTAGCAGCTTTATCGGTCATTATCATATCCTTCGGTCTGATTTCAGTAACGTAATTCGACCGACACACATACACACACACACACACACACACACACAGTGTGTGTGTATTCTCTTAAGCGAACTACGAGATTCTACTAATGGATTCTACTCCGTTCTATTATCGTTGCAGAGTGGAAAGCTCGACCCTGCAGTTGGTCTGCCCGTTGGATTCTCGTCCGGTGCAGCTAATCTTTCGTGGACTCCAGGTATTCAAGGAGAAGCGAACACTTCTTCGTGATGTTTCGGGAGTCGTCAAGCCGGGCGAGCTTTTAGCAGTTATGGGCCCTTCAGGTATTTATCATCGTCATCGTCATCATCATCTTCTACTCTTCTTCTTTTTCTTCTTCTTCTTGTTCATGTTGTTCCTCCTTAGGTCCTAACGAACCTATTCGTGAATGCTAGGGAGTTTCTTTTTCAACGACGATCAAATTCATCTTTTTGATTATATATCTACCTACCCTACTCTTCCTTACCCTACCCTACCCTGCCTACCAATCCGATGATGATTTTGCAAAAACAAATATTCACTTTATGTTTAATCTCGTTTACGATTCATTGACGCGGAGGAAAAGTATTATCTTATGATAGTTTATCTTTATTTAATCGAACAGTTGAAAATAATACAAAATCGCGTTTGAAAATAATGAAATGTTACATTAACGATTATGACGGATGATCCATTTTGTGCAAAAGGATGCGGGAAAACAACGTTTTTGAATTGCCTCTCCGGAAGGGTCAGTCTGGACGGTGGAGAGATTTGGTTGAATCGCGAGAGACTGACGAAAAGATGGCGTCGTAGGATTTGTTACGTACAACAACAAGACGTTTTCTTTCCTGATCTCACGTTACGGCAAACCTTAGAGGTAAGTCTACAACATTTTAAAATAAAGGATAAAAAGGTTCGTAACGGTGGTGGTTGCTTAAACGTTCCAAATAAATATACGGCCAACTATTAATAATGTGTAATTTTCTTGAAAAAGAAGTTTAGCCGGTTACGGTTCGATGCGTGGATAACTGGCCTAATTAATGCGTTATGATATTTGAACGGGAAAGTTTTGGAATGATCGAGCACATATCGAAACGCAATTTCTCTCTCGGTGAAATGGAATTTTCCGCGTTTCCAGTTATGTGCGTTTACATATTATTTTCCACGAAAACTGGCCACGGGAGAAGAGGACTGAGTGACTGTTGTTGGCAACTTTATTATTGCGTGCCTTTCACTCGGAATTTATCAAATCCCACGCTGAAAAGTGGGCGCGAATTAGGAGAACCACCGCAGAATTCGCGCCTACGTCTTTTGCCTATCTCGCGAGACTTGACGTCGTCGTTCTCGAAAGAAAGAAAAAGATCTAAGCTCGTAGTGGCCGAAAGCCAAGCCAAGCCAAGGCAAGACAACCACCACCCTCCTCGTCCTCCCCTGTCGTCTTACCTCTCGGCTAAGAAAATTTAATGCCTCCTCGTTGAACCGCTAATTGAATGCGATGACGCGTGCTATAACGATATTTCTCTCTCCCTCTCTCAAACAGAAGAAATCGAGCTTATTTCGTATTTATATAAATGCGAATCACTCGATTTATTTCACGTATATAAATCTCTTCGTTTTGCAATAAAGAAATATAAGGGGCGCACGATAATAAGGGGATTTTTAAGCAGTGTTTATTTTCTACTAAAGAGAAAAGAAATTTTCAACAAATCCGTAGATTATCGTTAAACGTTGGCCAGGTAGGAGGAGTCTTTTTGGTGCTTAGGCGAGTCCGACCGTTAGGACATAGAAAAAGAGTGAGAGAGAGAGAGAGAGAGAGAGAGAGAGAGAGAGAGAATTGTAGACGGAGGCGGCCCGGGGGCGGCTCTCTCTCGATGACGTCATAACTCGGTCAGTGAACCGTTGGCGGCGCGACGGCAGCTCCGCATCGGACCGCACCGCACCGCACCGCCCGCACCGCACACTATACAGCAGCAGCACGAGCGTCTTACATCTTTCGAAAACACTCGGCGCCGTCTAACATTCGCATAGATTTCAACTTTTCTTTCTCATGCGCGCACGCATCATGTGTATTATATATTATATGTGTACAATTTAGATACGAGAAATCAAACTATTCTCCAAATACTTTTTTTTTTTATTAATCTTCCTTCTTTTGAATGATCCAAATTTTCTGGACATTTGTCTGCGTTTTTTAGCTCTCTCTCTCTCTTTCTCTCTCTCTCTCTCTCTCCCTTTCTGTTGAATATGCGTAAACATGGGAAACGGTAAAGGTAAACATCGTCGACGACTACGGCACTTTCTCTCTCCGTATAACGGGTCGCGAGTCTTTAACGTCTTGCGTCTTTTCGATTACATTTTTTTCTTCTCTCCCCCCTCTCTCCCCCGTCTTTCTCTCTCTCTCTCTCTCTCTCTCTCTCTTTTGTCGAGGAAACTCGTCTATAAAGACTTAAAGTTGGGAAAAGTAATGAAAAATAGCAGCACGCGAAAGAGAAATTGTTGCATTTTTGGTTTTTACGATATTACGGTAAAACGTTTTAATATCCACGGATGCGTAAACCAGGCCACCGTGGGATTAAAGATGGCAAGCAAGCAAGCGGATAAGATATTTTAATACATTTGCCTACCACCGACCAATCAAATCGATCGTTTACGATTTTCAGTACCAAGCGAGGCTGAGACTTCCGGACACGCTGACACACTCGCAGAAGATGCAATGCGTCGACCATATCATCGAGGTTCTCGACCTCGCGGCCTGCCAAGATACCAGTGAGTATATCAACCAGAGAAATGTAAGCCGATCGAAGGAAAATATGAAGTTGATATAATAGTTTATATTAGACGTATTTTTTTCTTACCGATAGATATATGCACATATTTATTTCATTCTTTGTCGTAACGAGAAACCTTTCCTCTATCTCGGATATATATTACTTATTCAATTTATTTATTTTATTTGGTATTATTTTGAACACGCGTTTCATCATGTGGTTCAAGGAATTGTAACTGTTTGAATGCTAGAAGAGCAGCGTGATCGCGCTCTTAATTATTCGAGTTCAAGCGATTAATATATCTCTAATATCATGTGTTCTTCTTTTTCTGTTTTTCTTGTTCTTATAGTTATCGGCGATTATACGAGGCGAGGATTATCCGGCGGCGAGAAAAAACGAACGAGCATAGCCTGCGAATTACTCACGAATCCGTCCTTAATGCTGCTCGACGTAAGCTTTTACTTTTGATTCAAGAGAAAGTTACAGTGTAATTATCTAAGGGTTATGACGATATTATTCTACGTTTGTAGGAACCAACGAGTGGCTTGGACTCGCACTCCGCGCAGGCTTTGATCTCTCGATTGAAAAAATATGCGGAACAAGAGGGCAAAAGTATCGTCGTTACTGTACATCAACCAAGTTCACGGATGTTTCATAGCTTTAATAAGCTTCTCTTGTTAAGCCGTGGACAGGTCGCCTATTACGGTTCTACGGCTAACATTGGTAGGTTCTTCTCGACCATCGGATTGACTCTTCTGCCTCATTACAACCCAGCTGACTTTATACGTGAGTAGAAAACCTTATGAAATACTTCAACATTTATACGGGATATCTAAAATGACGAGCTCTGATCTGATAGAAACTATCGAAAGTTTGTCAAATATCTCCAACGAAATTTAAGATTCTTAGCGTAACAAATTCCTGACGTCTGATTGCCATTGCAAAAATCACATTTTTAAATTCAAATCCGTGTCATAAATATCACCGGCTAACCGAATAAACATTAATAACTATAACCTAATAAACATAATAAACTAAACTACTTGTGCCCGTACTTTGATCATTTGGAGCACAATTCGCGTATCATTAATAAAAAGGTGCAATCGCAAATTGCAATAAAAAATTGCATCGAAATTGCAATCGAATAGCAGAGAGACGAGCGTTCTATCCTTTTATTTATCTTTCTTCCTTTGTTTCTTTTCAGTCGAGCAAATAAAGGGCCCGGAGGAAGTACGAGAACGCATAGTAGCTGCAGCTCGAGCATCGAGACAGGGACCGGACTGTCCGCCGGAACTTCGTCCGGACTATAATCCCAGCCAACATCCGCTCTGCGACCATCTCATCCATTATCACGAACATCACATCGGGCACAACGGTATTACGCAGTATGCGCAACACCACGACTTACTCTCCCCTTCTCCTTTTCTATTCTTTTTTCTATCCTAACAACCAATACAAACTTTTGTTGTAACAACGTCTAAACTACGGAGAACACTAATCATACATTATTGGATAAGACCGCGTACACGTTTCGATCGTGAATGCACGTCATTGTAGTCTGGCTATCGGTAAGAATGTTTTCCTCAAACATACGCATATGCATCGTCCATGCAGAGCGTGTTGAACTATCGATCAACTATGGTAGTCTATATATGAATTCGAACGAATGTCGATATATTTTCATCGAACCGACATTCGTGTTTTTGATTTGTTTTTGATCGATTTTACATTAGAGTATTGAAAATGTATTAATGGATATTTTGAAAATGATTTTTTGTAGGAAAGGAAGACGAAGGTGGCACCTTGTGGTTGGATACGCAGAGTCATGCGAGCAGCAGCGCTAATTCCGCGGACGACGATTATTCGTGGCAGTGGCCAACCAGTTTCTGGTCTCAATTCAAAGTTAGTATATTTAATGATGGAACAATTGAAAAATATCATGGAGTAATAATTAGAGATTTATATTTTCCGTTAGTTAGATTTGTTATTAGTTTACGTATCGAACGAAAAAAAGTAAATAGAAAAAAAGTTGTTGTTGTTGGTGCTGCGCTGGTCTGGTTGTTGGTGCACGTAAATGCAGGGCTTTGTAAATCGCAGAGAAGAGCGAAAAGCGTGTGGTGTACGCGTAACTTGGCGCGAAAGGGAGCCCCGCCGGTTGTGCAGAAAGGGGAACTAGGTCGCGTTTACGCGATTCACCATATCCGGATAATTACCACGAAGCGCAGTTGCTGCTGCCCTACTCCTCTTTCCCTTCGTAATGGCGCTTCGTACAAACGCGCGTGTTAGCTGCACTTTTACCTTTTTCTTTTTCTCCTTCTTATAATTCTGATTATTTTCTTGTTCTTTCTTTTAACCTCTTTCGATAAATCGACGAGACTTTCGTTATCTATAAAGAAGAAGGAAAAAATAAAGTTGAATTATCTCGTTAAACAAATCTTTTGTATAGCACTATTATACGCGTTTGCGCTAAACTTACGAACAAGTGTGATTATCTTTTGGAGAAATCGTTTTCCTTTTCTATTGATATTTGTTCGTTCTGTTTCTTTCTCATTTTCTATTTATCTATGTCCGTTTGTATGTATACATCATTTCTTCTTGTACGTACGATAGGTATTATCGGAAAGAAATTTTCAAGAGGCACGACCAAGAATGCTGTCTCGCTTAAATTGGCTACAAACGATAGCCCTAGGCTTGTTGGCCGGTCTTTTATGGCTCAGGCTACCTAGGACCGAAGCTGCCCTTCACGACATTCAAGGATGGATGTTCTTCAGCACCACGTATTGGATGCTTTTCGCGCACTTTGGTGCACTCTCCAGTTGTGAGTTCAATATATCGTATATATTTTAATTGAACAAATATTTTCTATAATAACACGGTGTATGATAAACGTTGTCGAATTAAATTCGTTCATTTTGATTTAAATATCCGATTGCAACGTGAGTAAAATAGCTCCGTGAAAAGTTCTAAAGTTTTCATCAGGTAACTCTCGTACGATTGCGCAACGAGCGCAAAGCCAAACGAAGCTGATTGGTTAATTGAGCCTCAACGTAATACGCTCAATCGGGCATTCAACAACACTTTTTCTTTTCTTTTTCTCTCTCTCTTTTTTTTTTTTCCTTTCTTTTTACTACAAAGATATGCAAAAGGACACGACGGAACGTTCAATGAAGAATCTCGAGGTATGTGGGACGCAGTGTGACCCAGTAAAATCGGTGGTCATAACTCACAATTAGAGGGGGAGAGTCAGTCACAGTCATCGGCTCAAAGATTTGGACGCGACCTTTTATTATGTTAATCTAACGGAAATCCAAGCAGACACGTATTATTATTTCTCTCCCTTCCGTTCTGCCTTGGCAGAACATTTACGTCTCTCTCTCTCTCTCTCTCTCTCTCTCTCTTTTCTCTGTGTGTAACTTTTGATCGTATGTTTTCAGTTCCTCCAGAACGGGAGGTTATCAACAAGGAGCGATTATCGGGATCGTATCGGCTGTCGGCCTACTACCTGGCGAAAATGGTCGGCGAGCTGCCATTGACGATAACGCTGCCCGCCGTTTACCATATCATTAGTTACCCAATGTTGGGCTTCCAGAGCCCTGCGGTTTTTGTCACCTTGTTGGCATTTTTACTTCTAAACACCATTGTCGCCCAGGTTTGCATCATCGAGATATTTTCGTATTGTTAACGGGGCTTAACAATAATCAAAGGATGGATGCACTTTATGACTTTTTTTTTAGAGCGTCGGATTTTTCGTCGGCGCCTGTTGTCTGGATCTTCAAGTGAGCATAACCGCTAGCGCCTTGTACACGCTCGCGACCCAACTCTTGGGTGGTTACTTGGCGACAGCTGTCCCACCGTGGCTAGCGTGGGCTCGATACGCTAGCATGGTGCATTACGCCTATCAAAATATGCAGATTCTCGAATTTGGCGTTGGAGAACCGATCGCGTAAGATCATTCGATCATTTCTCCCGCTAATTAAAAACACCATTCTTGGCGTTTTTGTCCAATTGTTTTTGTTTTTTCTTATTCTCCATAGGTGCTCCCAGCCAAGTAAGTTTCTCGAATGCAAGAACGGTACAACGATACCCGTATCGGCGATACTGGAGAACCAGGGTGGCGCGAGGGGTTCGGGCTTGCCGCTTTGGGCGAACACGGCAGTTTTGCTAGCCTTCCTCGTCATTTTCCGTACTCTTGGATACCTCGTACTGCGCTATTATCGCGTACCCAAATGAGACGGCCTTACCTAAGGCTTACCTATTACTCTAGGCAGCATACTTTTTTTTCTACGTACTCTCGAACGTCGTAGAGACGACTATTTTCTGCGACAAACAAACAAAACCAACCGACTCTCCGATAAACGGTGTGTGATTCTCGCTATTTCCTTGCGTGAAACGAACGAATTTCATTGACACTCAAAACAAAACCGTTCTTTTTATTCTTTGTTCTCTTTTTCAAAATTTCAACAAACGAAACATTAATTGTTAATAATAGACGCGAGGCTACGATTCCAGATAGCTAGTCATCTCTCTCTCTCTCTCTC